AATATATATATATAAATATAATTTTTTTACTATAATTTTATATTTACAAATTAAATAATATTTTTTTCATGTTACAGATATAAATGAATTGGGAGTTTCAAAGAGAAAAAAGAGAAAGCTTTACAACGGCAATGATAAAGATTTCTCCAAAGATATAGACTACCATGACAGTGAAGACGATGACAATAACGACAGTGATGATGATGATCTTGTTGCACATTTTAGAAGAGGAGGAGAATTACCCGATTTAGATCTAGGTGATAATTCACACGATTCTGTGGATGATCTTGAAGAAGAAGATAACGAAGATGACAGAGAATGGAATGCATTGGGTGCTGCACTTGAAAGGGAATTCCTTTCTGAGTGACATGTGTTTGAATATAAGTAGTTCTCTTTAATGATTAACTCAGGATGTTTTATGTTATTCATAAATTCAAGTTCGATAACCGAGGCAGGGTTATTGATAATAAAACGTTACATTATTGTATACTCTGATGAAGTCAGCAAGATATTATGGAAATATTAAAGATTTCGAAGGAACAGATGGAAATAGCTGATCTATGAAACAAGAATCTTTAAAAATGGAAAATCAATCCTTTCTATAATATCGAGCAATAAATCTATTGGATTTTTAAATTTTGCACATATATTTAAAAGCATGATTAATTGTAACAAAGTAATTATTGTTCTTCAAAAGTAATTTGTGAATAGTATTATAGCACTGTGAATAACATGTGCCATTGAATATATTTGCGAGTTTTTTCTCATGCAAGAAAATATGTCAAAAACCGATTTTATCTTTATGTGTGTGTGTGTATATATATATATATATACATATATATATATATAAAATTAGAAAATAAAAAATTTATTTTCTAATATTTTTAGAGCTACCGCATTAACGTTGATGATTCCAAGCAAGCTTTTGTATTGAGATCCCAGAATGTATCGGAAAATTTGAAAATAAATACTTGTAGTACTTACAATTTACAATGAATAGTTTCTCTATTGAATATTTCTAATTTATTAATTATCGAATTTCTCAATATAATAGTATCTTATACTTTTTATGTCATTGTTGAAACACTATCTGGTTGTGGGTCATCAGGATTATCGTAGTATTTCAGATACATCTTCTTATGAGTGAAGTCTCGTATGCCTTCCAGTCTTCCTCTTCGTGGTGCTTTCGAATAATCAAAGGTCGAATTTTTTTTGCCATATAATTTACTCACTTCTTCTATATCTTCCCTAATTTTACAAAGAAATATGAGATAAAAATTTTTTTAATGCATAAATGTCTTAAGTAGTTTTGTGAAATTTTTAATGGTATATATACCTATATCTACATGCAACAATTTCCTTTCCTGTGACTGGATCTACTATATCGCCTAGAGGATGTATTACTTCGACAATCTACACAGATTTTGACTTAGTAAAAATATTCAGTCATTCATAAAATTTTATTTATTTAAATCTATCATCTTTTTCTCATATAACCACACGATAGCAATAATTAAATGTAGCTAGATAAAACAACACGTACCTCGTGTGTGATCAGACGTGTTAATTTCTGCGGTAATGTTTTTATCAAAATTACATCACCGATTTTACACAACTTCTTCGGATCATGGGCATAAACAAATTCGTTTTCCTTGAAGTACTGTTGAACACCAAGAAATATAACCTCAACTAGGAATCTAAATAAATATTATTATATGGTACATGATACACATATGTATACTAACCATATGAATGTAATCATCAAATTGTAATTGCGGTACTCTCACTTTGGCGGCATTCTGCTTCGACGAAGGCACGCATGTTCCCAGAAAATACCGCAACGCGGTCTTACCTACTTTATCCGCTGCTTTGGCGGCCATCTTTTAATGAAAGATCATCTGATCGCTTACACATACCTAGGTCTATGTTACAGAAGCTGTATACATATATGTATAGACTTTATAGTATAGACGACTTCAAATTCTGATTAACTTATTAAATACTGCATATAATATTTTATTAACAAAAATAAGAGACTAATAATTATACTATTATACTAATAATGTAATAATTTTGTGATCTATCGTTTCTTTTACTTTAAACAATTCAAAAAATTAAGTTTCCCAAAAAGAGAAAAAAATTGTATTTTTCAATTTGACAAAAAATTAAATTATTAATAATATCTTCTAATCAAAAAATTTTTATTAACAAAATAATTGGTATAAAGAATATATTCTTAACATAATCAAATGTCATTTTTGTCATTTTTGTTTCACAACTTTTAAAAATTCATCTTTTTTAATTGTAACGATAACGTTTTTTTATGAAGTTAAGTATCAAGTATTCGTTCACTTTTGATAATTGATGATTAATAAGGTATATATAATTACTTAATTTGTTCACATAAAAACTCGAAAATCATGTTTTTTGAATTATGTCACTTTTGAAGTCATTTATTTAAGGGAGAGGCAGAACGATATGTGTATATAAAAAAATTAAATTAAATTATGTACTTAGAAATTTAATCAAAAATTTTAATCTTGTCGATTAAATTAATCAACAATTGAGTTAATCAGAGTTTAATCGGAGAAACACGGATGTACGGAGAACTTTTCATTTATTGTATAGTATGTTATATGCATTCGTTTTTCAGCTACGCTTTCTACTTTTCTCATTATCTCTTTTTCTCTTCTACGCGTAAATGTATAGTATATTTGTCTTGTTTCGAATGCAGATGATAAAACGAATAGAATTCTCATTGTACTAGCTAATGCACGCATGCATTTAGAAGGTACTTTTTGACGGATTAGAGAAATTAAAAACTGCAATGGAAAAGGAGAAAGAGCTAATATGAGATTGCATTTTTTTCTGTAAAGAGATCTGGGAACTACAAAATATCGTTTTCGTAAAATTTGTATTTTGCTCACTTATAGTTCTTTTTTTTTTTACATATCATAATGTTTTAGTGGTATTTTGTATTTTATTTTGTATGATACATGTAAAATAATATACCGAGATTATTATTTATAAAAAAATCCCCTTTTTGTTCTTTTATTGATGCTTCTATCAAAAAGATTGGTGACATATTTTTTATTGATATTCGAAAAGAGTCGCACTATAGGAATAGTGGCGATATTGCGGTCAAAGTGGTGCATGTAGTATTTATAGAAATATATCGATGGTATAGTACAACACCGAAGTTATCAACGGGAGAACATTTTTTTTTAATCTCCAGGGAAATCATAAGATAAAAAATATAATGAAAATCTGACATTATTTATATTATCTTAAATTTTTCTTAAACTACGTGATTCCGTGTTGTTTTTAGTAAACTTAATTTATATCGCCGTTACTAAACTTACTTCAATTTACGTAGATTATATTTACTCTTTTTCTCTAATAGTATAAAATATAAGCAATAAATTTACTTAATTGATCAGGTTACGGATGTAGCCAAGTACAATCTTGTAAGTACCAAGTAGACCCAAGCTATACAACGCTGAAGCTAAGGAGTTCCGAGATAATAATTAATATCCAATTACTAACAGAGCAACTTTAGTTTTCCACGATGGCGAGCTTAATTAAGCACTTCCTTCGTCAATAATATAGTGGCCGTTGTTTGCATGTATATATATATATATATATATATTCATGTACATGTATTCACATAAAACATATGAGATAAAATATTTATCAGATCGCGATGTTCTTGGTTTCTAGATACCGATTAAAATTTCAAAGTATTGTGAATGAAGATGAAACGATTTTCTCGGCATTACTATAATCGCCACTTCGCAATTTATACTCTAAGAATCTATATTTCGAGAACCATTGGTGCATCTGTGCATTATCCGCGACACATCACATGACTGAAGCTGCGTGAACGTACCATGAAGTTTCCTCTAGGTTCTCGTCGAAGGTAAATTACATTTAACCCTTCGATTGCTGCACGTTACGTGCATAAGCTACTGAAGCGAACAGATCCATACGCTGTCTTCTGTTCGGTAGACTTGCAACGTGATGCACTAACGTGGTTAGGAAATTATGCGATTACGTAATAGAACTTGCATGCACGTCCTTGTGTGATCTATACCTTCGATTTACAATGACACTTATGCAATTATTAGATCTTCAACCCTTTCAAATTATTCAAGATTAAATTTCTTAAAAAGTAGAATACCTCAAATTTTTTAGAAAATAAGTAAAGGTAGAAGTAAAGTATACCTTGTAAAAAAATGTGAAGGAAGTATGATTTTATTTGCAATGGTGATTAGTCAAAAATTTACGCATATTGCTATATAGAATTATAAATATAAATATAATTATTATTTCTATGTAAAAAATTAATATATATACCACTTAAATATAAAAAATAATTAAGGAATACAATTGATATATTTTTCTGGTAATACTATTAAAATCGTATTTTAATTATATTACACTTTAATTCCTTCAATTTTCAATGTAGAAATAAGAGATCAAAGTTTCTATTTTACATCAGTTAAATTATAAACAAATAAATTCTTTAAATTTACTTTTGAATAGAAATTCTTCAAATCTCTTTTTAATAAATTTTTAGAACTCAGGTTCTATTAATTTGTATATATAAATTTAAAACTAGTATTACTAATGTTGAAAAGATATAAGCAAGAAGTATATAAGTTATTAGTATACAAAAAGCAGAAGAAAATTATTATTTTTTTTTGAAAAAAAAAATTACATATAGTATTAATATTATTTATATAATTTATTAATTTACATATTAATTAAATAAATATATTGTAATAATATTATTTATTATCATTTTTTACATAATATTAATTTTAAAAACATTAAATAAATTATTCTTAACATTAAATAAGTATTCCGTTCTTATACGAAAATTTGTATAATCATAAAATAATATATAACTGTGAGAAAAACTTTATACAAAAAAATAAAATAAATAAAAATGAGAGACATCACAGGATTGATAAATAATCATTAGTTTACAGTTGGATCGTTGCTTTGAATAGTTTAGAAGAGATATTCATAGGATGAATATCTCTCTCGCAAGAGAAATTCACGAACCGATGCAGGAAAGGACAAAGGTCGTGGAAAACACGACAGATCAATTTTTGTACATCAAAGACCGGATATTCTGAAATATATTGCTCTTATCTTGCGCGCGCGAGCGCTTCTCTTCGTTTTGCGTAATACACGCACACACGGAGGAATCATGCATCTGCGAACTCTGTTGTTATTGTGGAATGCAAAGGAGCAAGGGAATTCACGGATGATCACTCTGCGAATCGGTCGGCGACTGAGCCGTCAGTCATCCAGGAAATTCTATTGTCGATGGAAAAATCGGGACTACAGTCGCACGACTCGCTCGTTGCCTCCATTATTATGATGCCGCGCCTCCGTTTCTGCGGATTCATTCGGTTTCCGGAGGCAACGATGAAACAAAATGAAATAACGCCTGTTACTGTGCGAAAATACGATCGCACGAATTCGGCGCGTCGAGCAAACGCTTCGCGCGTAAATGATAACTTGAGCATATTGAAATATCGATGTAAGATCGTACATGTTTATTTGGCATGATACACAATGAAGAATACACATATATACACATAATTTGCATATTTATAACAATCAATAATAAAAATAATTATTTTAAGAAATAATTATTTTAAAAAATAATTATTTTAAGA